TTATAGTTGTACTCTCTGCAATTTTCATATTATTTTGCTGTCTTTAATGCGTCCGAAGGATCACTTTTTCAAGATATTCCTATTATATATACCATGGAAACTGTAAAACTTTGTACATCAGTTAGTTCAAACATATTAGTCAACCCAACAACACCTACCTTCTCAGCTTCTGTATCTCTCATCTTATTATCCAACTCTGTTGATGTATTACTAAGGGAGGTAATCTGAGTTTCTAGCTCATGTTTGTCAGATGTGAGAGTTTCTACGGTAACAGTTAACTGGTTTATGTTGTCTTTCTGCTCCTTTGATAAACTCTTCACTGACTCTAGCTCAGTGTGCAGTTCTTCCAGCTGTAAACAAAAACACAAATATTGTATTGAATTTGTAAATCATAATCATTAAACATATGTTGCATTAACCAAAGTATTTAAACCCTGCCAACATCAATATGGTATAACGAAGAAATTATAGTAATAGTGCATACAGCAATAAAACAACAGATTTGGTAAATTGAAGAATGTATTGTAACACTGCATACACCAAAAATAAAGACAGATCTGGTTTATTGAAACAATTATGTTAACACTGCACAACAGATTTGGTATATTGATGGAAGTATTAAAACACTGAACATACCAAAAATGTAGATAGATTTGGTACATTGAAGAAATAATTGAAACACTGCAAATAGCAAAACTAAACCAATCTAACAAATCAGAAATTACTGATCATTCAGGATGATTACAGATGTTTCTTGTTTTTTTGTGTGGTTTTTTTTTGGTGCTTTTTTTCTTTCTTTTTTTTTCTTTTTGGTAAAGACTAAAATCTCAGAGTTATCTTCACTTCAATTTCAAAATGTTATCAAATAAAAAAATGATTTGTTTTTGTATAAAAAGACTATTTCTTTGTTAAAACCAAGATTTGGTCAAATGTCAGCAGCTTCTTTTACATTTTATAAATATGCTAAGAAATGTGGCACACATGCAAATTTTAGAATTTACAATTTTAAGCAAAATGTCTTTCAGTTTATAACAGCAACAATGCAAATGGGGTAAAAACTAACAGATTCTTTACTTTTTGTTCTATTAGTTTATTTGAATAGAACATGTTAAGTTGAACAACCATTACTTATCTATACATCATATAGTCAGGCAGATTTTTTTTATCACTGCATAGTACTGATGCTACTTAACACAGCAAAAACTGAAGGATGTTAAATGTTTCGTTTGACTGATCAATGCCAATTATCTTATCTATATTTCATTAATTACTAAACTAAAATAAATAATCTTAGATATGAAATTCTAAAGTCTGGTTTACCAAAGTTATTAAAATACACTTTTATATTTAACGGTTGAATTTTGATATAAGCAGGTGACTGTAACTTCAATTACACCAAGCCTCTAACATTTTCCATGTCGAGTGACCTTGTATGTTTCAATTTTAACCATTTTAGTTTGTTTGCCTGGTCTTTACTATGATTTCAACACATTTCTCATTGGTCAGTCCAGTTAACCTGGGTAATTAACCACTAATTACCAATTTCTACCCAAGGAAAAACTACTATCTACATCATTTCTGAATATGTGGTAGAGACAAAAGTTACCATTAACCGTTTAATAAGAGTTGAAGTTACCTTATGTTTGAGTTGATCTTTATCTGTCTCAGCATCATTCAGAGATTGTTGCAGTTCATCTGTTATCTTTCTATTTAAACTTACAATCTCTACTTCAAGGTCTTCTCTCGTCTTCTCCAGACCTGCAATTACATTTAAATAAATGAGCCGCGTCACGACAAAACCAACATAGTGGGTTTGCGACCATTCGCGCAGTCTGATCAGGATCCACGCTGTTCGCTAGCAGTTTCTCTACTTGTAATAGGGTTTGTAAGCGAACAGCATGGATCCTGATCATACTGTGCGGATGCGCAGGCTGGTTTGGATCCATACTGATTGCAAAGCCATTATATTGGTTTTGTCATGAAGCGGCTCAAATATAATATAATACACCCCCTTTTGGGAAACATATTTATCACATTTCCATGTAAATGACACAAGGTTTTGTGGTTGTTTTTTTTGTGACCAAAATCTAATTTTTTCTGTGGTTGGGTTTTAAGTCACTTCTATAATTTGGACTTTCCAGTTAATCTGATGTCTTGATACTATACCCATCAGTACATTTTGTCAGTCACAAGTGGATACCTCAACAAAAAATCTGACCTGATGTAAGCTAGCTGAATTGCCAAAAGATCATGTTCCAAGCACAAAATAAAGAAGTTGTTTTAATATTACTTGCACCAGAGCAAGTAATATTTTTCTATCAATAATAGAAACTTCTTTAAATATATCCTACAATACACAGCTTTTCCTAATCTTAGCCCATAAAAAATCTTCTGTTCAACTAGTGAATAGGATGCATAACACTTTCCTAAAATACTACTTAAGGCGGTCAAAACTTTATGACAGGATATAAAGTGAACTTAACAAGACATACACATAATTATTATAACAAAAACAAAGAAGATCCTTCATTCAGGGCAATCACAAATAACAATAGTTATTATCACAATTTCTGTTACATATTAAATCACCTTTTATTTGTTGGGCAGCTTCAGTTGCTCTCTCTTCTAACAACGATTTTTCTCCTTTCAGCTGTTCTGTCAAACTTGTTTCTCTAACTAGAGCTTCTCTAACAGAGCTGAGTTCTTGTTGTAATTGAACAATCTCTGATTTCTTCTGCTCAATCTCATTTTCTTGATCACTGGATTTCTGCATCTGAGAAATCTCTGTTTCTTTTTGAGACTGTAAAATATAAAATACACAAAATCTTATGTCTTGTTCCCAAAAAACATGCGAAGTGTTTAGTATGAGTAAAGCTATCGACATCTGGTCTGACCTCTGTCATTCTCTACTATCATCAAATATTTTAAGTCTAAAACTACAAGTCAGTAAGACTTGTTTTTAAGAATGCAATCAATACTGTATGGACAGATCTGTAAAATAAATGTTTGAAGATTCATTATCATTTTCTTGGTTAAATGTTGAACTCTTAAGCTACTTAACACCTATGTTCATGAACAGGCTTTTATTTTATTTAGTTTTGCCCACTGTTTTGTTGATTAAAACAAAAGCATTTTTTGAATTATAAACATACTCTGCTTTTCATGGAAAGGCACTAATGTGTAACATTGAGGGTTTTATTTTAACTGCTACATGAAAACATCTGCAGAAGACTCAAAATCAACCATCTCAAATTTAATTATAATTCTGCTTAAGCCGGTGCTCAGGAGCGTGGACAACAGCTTGGACTTTTCAGTACCGTCCATGAACAGACTCAATCCATTGTGCGAATTTTTGTTTTTCAGATCAGAATATTCAAAAATATTTTCAGTATTTCCCATTAATTCCCTGATTTTTTCCCCCATAATTTTCAAATTCCCTACTTTTCTAGGCAGGGAAATTTTTAAGTCTAATTTCCCTCTAATCCAGAGCCCATAACTGTACACCTTGCAACAATAACTTACCTGATTTAAAGTCTCTTGTAGACTAGTGACCTCCTCTTGTAGCTGATCTTTTTCTGACCTAATTGTTTCTAGGTCAGAGGTCAACTGGTTCTTGTTTTCTTCCAGATTTACACATTTCTTTTCAAAGTCTCTGATTTTTTGTTCTAACTCCTCTGTAAAAAGTATAAATAATTTGATAACTTTATCTTAATGTTTTTAACACAGATTATTCCACATTTTGTCAAGAACTTCAACATATATATTGATTTAGGGGAAACAAAAATGAATATTGTTCTATAAGTCATTTAAATTCTTAAGAATTTTGATTTATATTTTAAGAGAACAAGCATTAAAAAATGTTCAACAAACAGTAATGATGATAAAATTGCATGTATATTTTGTTATAATAACTTTACATACAAGATGCGGAAAATCAAAGTTGTAACTAGTCTAGTTTTATGTTGACATAGATAATAACTGTCTTGCCCTGGACCTTTGCTCTTATATTGCTGCACATTTTCACTTGAAATGTACACAATTACATGATAATGCACAATTAAAAGTGAAAATTATTTCATATTCATAAAGTAATATCAAACCTTTAAGTGAAGTAAGTTGGTCAAAGTTGGCAAGTTTTGATAAGAGAGAATCTCTTTCCTCTGTTATACCAGCAAGTTCATTCTTTAAACTGTCCAGTTCATCAGATTTGTTTGAACCCTGAGTAAAATATAACATACAACAGTGAGTCATGACACATAAAATAGCACAGTCAGCATTTTATCTATTGAAAGCTGTTAGTTTGTATTTTTAATATCAAAGTCAGTTTTATTTTTTTAAAGGAAGTTTGGTACTTTTCTTTATTAAAAAAATATTCAGTACTTAATAATTTTGTAATTTTATAAAACTAGAAACATTCATCATTTAAAGTAATCAATAAGATTTGGTCAAAATTTCATATCAGATATCTACTTTATAAAAAATCATTAATTCTTAGTAAAAAAAAAGACAATCTAATGACATTTTTTGAGAGAAGTAATTGGACTGTCTGCAAAATCTCCTGTAATTTAGTTCTACTAAATCAAAAATCAAATGTAATTTCTCAGATTAAGCTCCCTGTCAAGCAAGGAACTATTATAAAATGCATTCATAACACTTACAGGACAGTTGTCATTAATCATGTCTGTTCAAATAGAAATCTTGAGAAACATATTTGGAATGGTGCAAGTAAAAATGTGCACTTTCTTTACACTTTATGCATTAAAAAAGGATGTCATGTCTAAGAATCTGAGACTCAAGATGGGGAAAAAAAGATTAGTTTACATCCTAAAATACACTGTAGCCTCGATAACTCGCTTTTCATTATAACGCTAATCTCAGTAGAGCGCTCATAGACCTTGGCTCCCAAAAAAAAAAACAAAAAAAAAAACTTCCCCAAAAAAAATAATTTTTTTTTCAAGCAGACTTAGATTTATAGCGCGCTATAACGCTTGCCCAATTTGACAGTCAAGTACAATAAACAATTGTTTATTAGGACATTTATGAGCGCCAAAGGTGTGAAAAACATGCCCAGGTAAGCATTTATCCGCTCTTTTGTTTGTTTTACCTGTCTTCAAATTGTTTCCAAAATCTCAAATTCATATCATAACTGTGACATTGGCAACCGGTGGTGAGTATAATATAAACTAAAATTCACACACATACTTTGACATGTAAACCTCGCTGAATTAAATAACCCACAAGCCCAAAAATCAATTTAAAATCCTGCACTGTAAATACAGCGGCCATGACAGGAAGTAATTGGCGTTTGATTTACTAGGGGACACAACTAAAGCTGGACTGTAAATTACAGTGTTATTTACAGTCCAGCTTTAGTTGTGTCCCCTAGTTAATCAAACGTCATTACAGTATGGCTGTTTACACTACATTCATGATTTTATAATTTTCTTTCGAAAGTTTTTTCGTTTCTTTTAAAATACAATTAGTATTAATTTGTGAATATAATATAGTGTTTACATCATTGAATGGTTTCGAAAAAAATAATGTCAATATTCATTGAAACAGTAAGTATATAAAAATCAGCGTTATATATATGTATGTGGTGGGTGGGGTAATGCGGAAATTTCGCAATGAGCGTTCTAATGAGAGCCTGGTTAGAACGCGGTGTTGAGACATTGGACCCCAACACGAGCGTTTTAATGAGGCTGAAGTGTAATCATTTCTGATAATCTTTCTGAACTAAAATTGAGTTGCCTCTTTACACACTGACCAACATTTGGGACTTTTCTATTCAATTTACATTAAAAACGGACATGGAAATCTCCCCCCTTTAGAAAAAAAACAGCATATTTTTTCAACCAAATTAGATGGAAAAGTTCATTCCCCTTCCCCTGAAATCACTAAATTGATAATACTAAAATTAATCATAAAATTCTAGAAATACATTGTCAAAAAAAAAAAAGATATTTTTTATTCCATAACGTTGTTACTTTCTTAATTTTATATTCTACCTAACAAGGAATTAATTATTATAACAAACATTACAATGCTATATTTAATACTATTTTTAATAGGAAGTTTACTAAACACATAACTGTAATATACACATACATTGTATTAGATAAACCTTATTCTATTCATATAAAGAACAAACCTTTTTCAACTGAGCAATTTCTTTCTCTAGAGATTTAACCTTGGCAGTTAGTTGGGCCTTCATTTTCAGCATTTTAGTATCCCCTCCTTTACTAGTAGCACCAGAATCTTCAGTAGCACCTTTCTGTAAAACTTCTAATTCTTTCTCTTTATCTTCTAGAAGTTGTCTGTATTTTTCACTCTCCTCTTGTTTTTCTCTGAACATTTGTGTCAAGCTTTCAGATTTCTGTTTTAAACATTCTAATTCCTCTAACTGCTGATCTTTCTCCTTCATCATAGCTTGAAGAGTTTCAATGTTTTCTGAATCCCCACCACCACCTTTATGAATATCTGCTGGTTTATCGTTTGTTTCTCCTCTAGCACCTGTTGTTGCTAATTGATGATATCTCTCTTGTAAAGCACTGTACTGTGTTACTGACTGATTGTAAGCACCTTCTAACTGATCAGCTGAAGACTTCAAACTTTGTATTTGAATGTCTTTTTCTGTACTTTCCTGTTCATGTTTTTCTACAAGTTCACTAATTTTGTGCTCATATTTTTTCCTTTCAACTTGCCACTGTGACTCCATGTCTACTAAATTAGCTTGGAACAACATCATCTGCTCTGACATTTGTTGTAGCTTTTCTTTAAAACTTTTCTGAATTTCTCTACTCTCCTCTAAATCTTTTTCTTTCTGACTAGATTCTTTTTGAAGGACCTCTATAACCTTTATTTTACCTTCTAAAACTTCATTTGTATCTTTTAGTTTCTGTTCTAACATTTGAATCACAGGATCCTGAATATTAACTTCACCTTTCGACATAATTTTTTGTATATCTCTTTCATGCCTGGTAATTAATTCTCTCAAATCATTTTCGGCTACCAGTAATTCACCTTCTTTATCTGTTATTGTTTTACGAAGTTTAGCAAGGCTTTCTTCCTGCTCTTTTAATGTTTCTTCAAAATATTTTTGAGATTCTGTAAGTCGAAGGTTAAATCTTTCTCTTTCTTGTTGAAGATCATGGCCAGATTTGTCCACCTGTTCTCGGAGTTGTCCCAGTACTTCATCATTACTTTCAACCTTCCCTGTAAGTTTAGTAACGAGCATTGCATGATCTGTAACACTCTGATCCTTCTCTTTTATAGACGATTGTAAAACCTTTTTCAAAATAGAAAACAAACATCATATAAATTATCTTCATAGTAAAACATCAAACATAACAAAGAACTTATACCACAATAAAACTTACAGAAAAAAAAGATGATGCATCTTTATATTCTACACATTATCCAATAAAAAGTTACACAAAACATTACTGAATGGCCTACTTTTTAAAAGACTGTCTTGCAACCCAGTAAATAAACAAGATATGTTTGTAAAACATGTATGCCCCCTATCAGCAGCCAATTATTCATGTGATAAGGTTATTATGCATGACTTCTGACCCAGTGATCAAACAATTAATAAGGGTTATCAAGTATCTACTGGTTATGACCTTGACCTTTGACCCCCTTGACCCAAAAACTCAATAGGGGTCATCTGCTGGTCAAGACCAATCATCATACAAAAGTTGGAAGTTCCTAGGCCTAAGGGTTTTTAGTTAATTGATCAGAAACCGTTTTTACTTACAAGGTCAATGTGACCTTGACCTTTGACCCTTGACCCCAAAAATCAATAGGGGTTATTTGCTGGTCATGACTAATCACCCATGCAAGTTTGAAGTTCCTAGGCCTAAGGGTTCTTTTTATTATTGATCCGAAACCGTTTTAAACATACAAGTCAATGTGACTGACCTTTGACCCAAAATCAATAGGGGTCATCTGCTGATTTCATGAACCATCACTATGCCAAGTTTGAAGTTCCTAGGCCGTGAGCGTTCTTTAGTTATTGAATCAGAAACCGTTTTTACTTACAAGGTCAATGTACCTTGACCTTGACCCCTTGATCCCAAAATCGAAAGGGGTAATCTGCTGGTCATGAAAAATCACCATACCAAGTTTGAAGTTCCTAGGCCTAAGCGTTTTTAAGTTATTGATCAGAAACCGTTTTTACTTACAAGGTCGATGTGACCTGACCTTTGACCCCTTGACCCAAAACTCAATAGGGGGTCATCTGCTGTCACACACCAATCATCATACAAAGTTTTGAAGTTCCTAGCCCTAAGCGTTTTTTAGTTTATTGATATCGGAAACCGTTTTTACCTACAAGGTCAATGTTACATGACTTTGACCCCTTGACCCTAAAAACAATAGGTCATCTGCTGTCATGACCAATCACCATACCAAGTTTGAAGTTCCTAGGCCTAAGGGTTCTTAAGTTATTGATCGAAAAGCATTTTTACCTACAAGGTCAAGTGACCTTGCCCTTTGACCCCGTAACCCCAAAATCAGTAGGGGTCATCTGCTGGTCATGAGCCATCACCATACCAAGTTTGAAGTTCCTAGGCCTAAGGGTTTTTAGTTATTGATCGGAAACTGCTTTTACCTAAGAGGTCAATGTGACCCTTGACCTTTGACCCCTTGACGACCCAAAATCAATAGGGGTCATCTACTGATCATGACCAATCACCATACCAAGTTTGAAGTTCCTAGGCCTAAGGGTTATTTTAGTTATTGATCGGAAACTGTTTTTTACCTAAGAGGTCAATGTGGACCTTGACCTTTGGACCCCTTGACCCCAAATCAATAGGGGTCATCTACTGATCATTGACCCAATCACATATCAAGTTTGAAGTCCCTAGGCCTAAGGGTTCTTTATCGTTATTGATCGGAAACTGTTTTTACCTACAAAGGTCAATGTGACTTGACCTTTGACCCCTAACCCAAATCAATAGGGGTCATCTACTGATCATAATGATGAACCAATCACCATATCAAGTTTGAAGTCTAGGCCTAAGGGTTTCTTCGTTATTGATCGGAAACAGTTTTTACCTACAAGGTCAATGTGACCTTGACTTTGACCATTTACCCCAAAATCATATAGGGGTCATCTGCTGGTCATAACCAATCACGACATACCCAAGATTGAAGTTCCTAGGCCTAAGGGTTCTTTTGTTATTGATTCGGAAACATGTTTTTTTACCCAAACCGAGGTCAATGTGACCTTGACCTTGACCCCCTTGGACCCCAAAAATCAATAGGGGTCATCTACTGATCATGACCAATCACCATACCAAGTTTGAAGTTCCTAGGCCTTAAGGTTCTTTACTTATTGATCGGAAACCGTTTTTGCTTACAAGGTCAATGTGACCTTGACCTTTGACCCAAAATCAATAGGGGTCTCTACTGATCATGAAAATCACCGATACCAAGTTTGAAGTCCTAGGCCTTAAGGTTCTTTAGCTTATTGATCGGAAACCGTTTTTGCTTACAAGGTCCAATGTGACCTTGACTTTGACCCCAAAATCAATAGGGGTCATCTACTTGTCATGACTAATCACCATACCAAGTTTGAAGTTCCTAGGCCTAAGGGTTCTTTAGTTATCACTCGGAAACCATTTGGTCTACGGACCGACAGACCGACAAGTGCAAAGCAATATACCCCCTTTTCTTCGTAATGGGGGCATAAAAATAACCAGTTGTCAAGATTTTTTGTTGCATTGTTTTGTATCAATGCTTATTTGTGAAACACAGGCTGTCAAATTTTTGAAAGTTCATTATGGTGGTATAATCATAAACAGATTTCTTCTTTTGTTGAGTTCTGACAAGCACTGACACTATAAAAATGATATGGGGACCTCCCAGCTTACTGACAAAGGAAGATATCAAGTGCCCCTCCATTCATTTTTTCAGTCTCAAGTAGGCACCTTAATGGTACAAATAATCTTCCATTAGTTGTAAGGATAATTTCCTCATATGACTCCCTTCTCTTTATATACATATTATATATAAAAGGCTTTCATTAGAATTTACATTTCAACTGATTTATTTAATCACTTCTTCTACAAAGATCTTAGTTACATTCAAAAAATATTTACTATAAGTCCTATTATACATGTAAATGATGTAAAAATAGATCACCTGTATAACTTTATCTCTGCCACGTATAACTTCATTTTTCTCTCCAATAAATTCCTGTAGATCAATGAGTCGTCTCTCCAGTTCAAGGATTTTATTGTTGAGTTCGAGTAAGTTCTTGTCTTTGTAAACTATTTGAGCATACATCTGCTGTACCCTCACCTATAAATATGTCATACAAACACTTATAATGCCTTTATTCTATGTCACTCAAACATCATTGTGCTAAAAATACTTTCTATATTAATCTTACATAGGCTGAGAAAGACCTCATACACTCATATACTGCATTATTAAAGGCATGATCAGGCATCTGAGTTATGTTTATAATCTTCTTTTATGTAAATGAAAAACATGAAATACAATGAAAACAAAGAATACTTCATATTAACTATTATAAGAACTTTTAACCAAAAGAAACAAGAAATAACAGAAGTGAAACCTCAGAATCATCCCCAGTTGTCCCCTGATTGTTCATTTCCTCCATAAGTTTAGTTTTATCTTCAAGTTGTCTGGTAAGTGTAGATATAATGTCCTCCCTCTCCGCTATTATCTTCTCTTTCACTTCTATCTGCTGGTCCTTCAAGGTCACAATCTCTTCTTTCTCTTTTATAATCCGATCCTTGTCCTCAAGTTTCTTTTTCAGTAGTCGAGACTTTGCCCTGCTGGCTTGCCCTTCATCTTCTCCAGTACCCTATTTCAATATAACAGTGATTATACGATAAGTTAAAAGCTTGAAATGTTAATAAAAGCAACATTACCCCACTTCTGTTCAAAATCTTTTGTAGATGGATGAGTACATTGGACTGTGTCTCAATCTACAGACAGGAATGGGTAGGTCGTTTATTACAAACTCAAATATCAGTACAGAAGTTATTTGATTAAAAATTTATATGAAAGTTTAATATTTAACACTAAGAGTGTGATCTTGCAGCTAACCCATGAATAAATAATAAATATGACAATAACAAGAGCTGTAAGTAAGATAGCACCGTCAACTGTTCTTGGTGCTTGGCAGTAAGAAAAGGGGTATCACTCCGTACAAAAGGTAAGGAATTTAAATCAGACTGGAGGTATCTGCAACATGGATCTTAGTATTCTGTTGCAATTCTAATCTTAATATAACTGATACAAAATAATAACTTTAAATATATCTATTGAGCAAACGGTGAAAGCATGTTATTGTAAGTGATTTATCTAATGCAAGTCATGCATTATGAAACCATTATTTTTCATTTTGGACCCTTCATTTTCATATCTTCAAAACTGATATTGACATTTCTAAAAATGAAAGCTGGACAAATGAATTTACAAAATTTTGCAGACTAAAAATCACAATATAAAAAATTTACCTTATCTTCTGCCACTTCTGTTGCTTCCTTTTTGGACACAGATTTACCTCCCTTGGATTCTTTTGCATCTTTGGCTTCCCTAGCTTGTTTAGCTTTTGCTTGAAGTTTCAACTTGGACAATTTAGCATTCACTTCCTACATGCAATATACATGCATTACAGTAACATAAAGAAACTTTGACTTCATAGCACATAGGTTAATCAAGCAATTATTTTGCATGCAAGACATAATAGAAGATGGGTATTAATGTATCAATTTTATCTAAACAAGATATGTTTGTAAAACATGTATGCCCCCTATCAGCAGCCAATTAGTCATGCGATAAGGTTATTATGCATGACTTCTGACCCAGTGATCAAACAATTAATAAAGGTTATCAAGTATCTACTGGTCTTGACCTTAACCTTTGACCCCTTGACCCAAAACTCAATAGGGGTCATCTGCTGGTCACGACCAATCATCATACAAAGTTTGAAGTTCCTAGGCCTAAGCGTTTTTAGTTAATTGATCAGAAACCGTTTTTACCTACAAGGTCAATGTGACCTTGACCTTTGACCACTTGACAGCAAAATCAATAGGTCATGTGCTGGTCATGACCAATCACCATACCAAGTTTGAAGTTCCTAGGCCTAAGGGTTCTTTAGTTATTGATCGGAAACCGTTTTAACATACAAGGTCAATGTGACCTTGACCTTTGACCCCAAAATCAATAGGGGTCATCTGCTGCTCATGACCAATCCCATGCCAAGTTTGAAGTTCCTAGGCCGAAGCGTTCTTTAGTTATTGATCAGAAACCGTTTTTACTTACAATGTCAATGTGACCTTGACCTTTGACCCTTGATCCCAAAATCAATAGGGTAATCTGCTGGTCATGACAAATCACCATGCCAAGGTTGAAGTTCCTAGCCTAGCGTTCTTAAGTTATTGATCAGAAACCGTTTTTACTTACAAGGTCAATGTGACCTTGACCTTTGACCCCTTGACCCAAAACTCATTAGGGGTCATCTGCTGGTCATGACCAATCATCATACAAAGTTTGAAGTTCCTAGGCCTAAGCGTTTTTAGTTAATTGATCGGAAACCGTTTTACCTACAAGGTCAATGTGACCTTGACCTTTGACCCTTGACCCAAAATCAAAAGGCCATCTGCTGGTCATGACCAATCACCATACCAACTTTGAAGTTCCTATGCCTAAGGGTTCTTAAGTTATTGATTGGAAAGCATTTTTACCTACAAGGTCAATGTGACCTTGCCCTTTGACCCTTAACCCCATATCAATAGGGGTCATCTGCTGGTCATGACCAAATCACCATACCAAGTTTGAAGTTCCTAGGCCTAAGGGTTCTTTAGTTATTGATCAGAAACCGTTTTTGCCTAAGAGGTCAATGTGACCTTGACCTTTGACCCCTTGAACCCAAAATCAATAGGGGTCATCTACTGATCATGACCAATCACCATATCAAGTTTGAAGTCCTAGGCCTAAGGGTTCTTTTTGTTATTGATCGGAAACCGTTTTTACCCAAGAGGTCAATGTGACCTTGACCTTTGACCCTTAACCCCAAAATCAATAGGGGTCAATGCTGGTCATAACCAATCACCATACCAAGTTTGAAGTTCCTAGGCCTAAAAGTTTTTAGTTATTGATCGGAAACTGTTTTTGCTTACAAGGTCAATCTGACCTTGACCTTTGACCCCTTGACTCCAAAATCAATAGGGGTCATCTACTGGTCATGACCAATCACCATACCAAGTTTGAAGTTCCTAGGCCTAAGGGTTCTTTAGTTATCACTCGGAAACCATTTGGTCTACGGACCGACGGACCGACAAGTGCAAAGCAATATACCCCCTTTTCTTCGAAATGGGGGCATAATTAATGATTAAATTATTTCATAAGATTTCAAAAGAGGAATTGAAGAATGTTAATCATAATGCTTTTTTTTCTCAAGATAAATTTGAAGATCAACAATCAAGTTTTTAAAGTGTTAAAAAGAGAAACAAACATGGCCGGTTCTATGCAGGAGTAAGTTAGAATAGTTTACTATCATGCAAAAAAATAATAAAATTTCTGACCAGCATTCAAATTTCTATAATTGACAATAACAAGGTTTACACATGTCATATTCAGAGATCAAAGTTAAAATGGCATATAAACCCAAGAAACAAATTGTTTTAGAAATATTATTAAAGGGATGGACATACAAGCAATGAGATGTATCTATTTTATATACTCACAAGTAGCTCTTTATCTTTCTTCTGAGCTTCTTCATCTCTCTCTTTTGATCAAAATTTTGAGCTCCCTTAAATAAACCGTTGCGCTAAAAGCAACCTAAATTCAAACATCACCCATGGTTTGCCCCTACAAGGGAAATGATTTTTTTAATTTATAATATAAAAAATTATCTTTTTGGTCAAAAAAAATAAATTGGCTAATTCCAAATTTTCCACGAAAAATTTGCATGTAATTTAATGCTTTAAAATTTTAATAAAATTTTTTTCAGTTAAACTTTGTATCATTAAATTTGACGCAACTTGAAAACCCTGGTGAGGGTAATCAAGCCTAAAATAATGCATGGGGGGACACAAGGGTATTCTCCACCTTTCAAGCTAGGAAATTCCCCAAAATGAACCCCTGGCAAAGCCCCCCTTTTTTTAATAAACATTTTGATTTTCATACATCCTTTTTTGATTACAGTATCCCGGGGAGTTTCCCCCGTGATTTTTAAATTTTGATAGTTTTCAATTTTTAAAATTATTCAAACATTTTTATTTCAAAAAAATTGGGGAAATTTGTGCTTCTTTAAAACCCTGCTCGAGTAAAAAGGGAACTAAAAAGACTTAAACCCGGGGAAATGCACAAAGGGGGTTTTTTCCCCAGCTAACTGAAAGGGTAAAAACTAATTTTTCCCTACTAAGCTAAATTAAAAAGATAAGTCAACCTTTTTGGGCTTTTTTCCCGAATTTTAAACTGAAAAAAATTTTGTTTTTTATTTTAAAATTATTAGTTGGGGAAAAACCCAAATTTATTTTTAAAAATTCCCGGGAAAAGGGTCTATGCTGGACATTTTAAACATTTGATGCAATTCCAATTAAATGATTTTAGAATTACCAAAATTCCCATCTTCAAATATTTTTCATAATCAGTTCAATGGTAATTTGTCAAACTGCAGTAAACAAAAATTTGGTTTGGTCCACTTCCCATTTGAAAGTGGCACTGCTAAATTGCCGGGGGGGAGGGGGGGAGGTTAAGTTTATAGTGTATGTCAAAGCATTTGCCGACGCCATCTTTGATGTAATGATATCTGACAGGCCAGCTTAATGGAGCTTATGGTTTTATGATTTCTTATTAATATGGCTAATTGGGGGATGAAGCAAACTAGTGCAAACTGGCCCCCAAGTCAAATCGGCCCACAAAACTAGTCAAAATGGGGCCCCTCAAAACAAGTTCAAATCGGCCCCTAAAAGTTATTTTTGTGTATCATCCTATTTTTGGTTAAAATAAGGTTATTAAACTGAAAATTGAAAGGTTATTTACTGAAAAATTGGCGCTTTAAATAAAAGTACCAATTAAAAATAATTCATTATAAAATTGAAACAGTTTTGATGCTAGTGATAATTGTTATTAATGTAATTATGCAGGTGTGCTATGGTTGTTAATTGATTTCTACATTTAATTACAATACATGTCTTTAATCAATTCAGTCATTGTCTCTAATTACCATGCATTGAATTCGGCGATTTTAACAACCTTTTTTGTGTGAAGTGAATTTAATCAGCTAGGTATGCAGGTTGTGCATTGATTATTTTCCTTTACTTTTGGAGATCATTTACGTTGATGGACTTAATTGTAAAAATTGTTATTTGTTCTTTTTAATAACTTTATCAAATTAATAAATTGTGAAAAGTGTTGGTTATTGAAAATGACTGATAATTGTATAGACTGTAGAAATGTTGTGCGGAAACGGCAGGAGGCAGTCACTTGTGATGGCAACATAGGAAGTGTAATACCGGAAAGTTTCTTTAATTTACAAAACTTATCAGGGTGAGTTAAATGAAAAATTTATAAAGAAAACAATGGGGCAGATTTGACTTGAGGCCAATTTATTTTGGGGCCATTCGACTATTTTTGGGCCGTTTCGACTTCAAGGGGCCGATATGACTCAGGGCTCGAGCTAGTGGGCGATTCGGGCGAAATAGTCGCCGAATTCCGTCTGACTTCGCCGACATCCTACATGAAAGCGAAGATGAAGTCGCCCGATTTTATTGATCCATTATTGAAAATTACCAACAATACCAGTGTCTATTCTAGGAATTGAAAAATAGGGGTGATTTTCCCCCCTCTATTTCAAAAAAGGGGGCGATTTTCAAAATAAAGGGGTGCCAATATAAACTGCCAATGTTAAATCGTCTGCATTAAGTTTACACTGAGGCGTTCAACCGATGAAATAATTAAAACGATAATATTTATTTAAGGCAGCAGAAGTTGTCCCCCCTTAATTTTTAAACGAAAACAAATTATTACAGAACTGCCGCCATTGATTATAAAGGGATTGACAATACAAATAATCGATCTATCTTTCACGTCTAGATCTTAGCCAAGCTAGGAATTGCCTCATTTTTCTTGATTATTTACTACACTAAAATGGCGCCCAACTGTCAGACCTAGCACACTAGTTCCGGTCGATACGGAACATTCCGTTAATTTCCGTCAACTCGCGTAACCAATACCATACGGTACTTAATTATTATAATTAGCTTACAGTTACCTCCCTTCGGTTTTCGGTGTAAATGTAAACAAAACAACCAAATATAATGTGGGATGGAAGTTTTACGTTTTTTTTACTTTTTTATAGATGCGCGATTTTCACGCACATGATTTTGAATTGTGCGCGATCTCTGAAATACTAGCGTGAATCGCGCAATCGCGCGTCCTAGAATAGACACTGCAATACCTGTGAATATTGTTGTGTGTGTTTGCTTTGTTTACCCTCGCCGCCGGAAAAAGGGACTGTCATGCATCTCAATCAACGCGAAATGTCATTAATCCGTTTGTTTACCAACATGTCATAAAAGTCTAATTAACAGACACTCGTGGAACAATTAGACTTCCGATACATGCGAGAAACCAATCGTAATTCACGTTTTAATCGAGGCGACATTATTAAACCAATCATTAAATCGCTAACATACTACTACCCGTAACAATAATTTATGATGGACGAATCAAACGTCAATTAAATTTTCACTATCGAATGATTGTCAGAATTAAGAGGACCGCTCGACATATAACTGTAACGGTAATTTTAAATGAAAGTTATGATAATCTTTTTTGTCGACGAGTTAAATTTGATAAAATTGACGGCGTATAACAATGTATTTATTACAAATGAAGTTAAATTAAAGATCGTTTCTTTCGTTATCTACTTACATTTTCTTTACAACATAAGTGAATATGAATAAAATGTCCGGCGCAAGCTTTTTAATAGTAAATCAGAAGGGAATAACTGTTAATCCACCCATGATATCATCCATGATAGGAATCAACTATGGCTTTTTTATCTTCATTCAATGCAATGGTTGCATTACATGATACTCATTCTTTTTACTTGTTTCAAACTACTTTTAAATTAAAATTGAATATTCTGTTGTAACACAAATCCAATTCATTTAATAAGATATGTGCTGTGAGTCAACATAATTGGGATAACATACAACAAACATCGATAAATGAATCTCCCCACTTCTCCCTAAAGCAGCTGGAGGGAGAAGTGACTTCTCCCTAAATTTTGAACCTAGCTTGAGCCCTGTGACTGTAAATACAGATGAATGTGTATACAAGTGAAAAATATAACTTTTATATTTAAGAGCTACATGAATTTTAAGGACATCAGATTTTCTTGTTCTGAAATTAAAGCACATCGCGAACCTTTAAATGCATCTGTGGAACAGGAACTCCAAAAATATAGGTTCAGCAGTAAGTAAAAAAAAAGTTTCATTTTAAATGACTTTCAACTGTGTGTTGTCAACATGTGACTTTGTAAACACAGGTCTTGCTTGTATGCTTCTTATTCTTCATGTATGTTTAAAACTTGGACCTATTCAAATGAACGGTCAAAGCTAGCAGCCTGACACTTGACAGGTGTCTGTCAAGGTGTGATTTACTGGCTCAATAGAAGAAGTGTAAGCAATTTCGTGCTACCATATGTTATGACATACTTACTCAAATGCAAATATTACTATTGAGAAAAGCTCCGTGAGAGAATGTTAGCTTCTCGCTGAGACTGCTTGCGTGTCCGCATCTCTGACCACCATCTTGGATTCCCATGGTATCACGTGACATAGTAGACTGTTCCCATCCAAAATCGAACCCAATTCAATTTAACTACCAGAAAGAGATTTCAAAAAAGTGTAAGAGAATTTTGAATGCTGCACGAGTTAAATGACTTAAAAAATATAGGTTAATGCGAGAGATACAAAATTGTTTAGCCAATCATCATATATGAGATTTGTTCATGAATTCAAGGTCTTTATTTTTATTTATTAAAAGGGTTTGGTAATGGTCATTAGGCTGTGCCATTTTTGTATCATTTATGTGTTTTATTTATTTCGTCTAATGTATGACTTATAGAGTTTTAATAGAATTTAACAATAAAATTGCAGTTTATAGACGTATGTTATTAGAAACGTATAATATTTATTATCAAAAATAATCATAATGATGATTCAATCCCATTTATTTGCACAATAGAGAAAATAAGAATCCCTAAAGAAAGCCCATAACGACAAAATTGAAAATGTTGCAGGCTCAGTTTGATTTAGCCTGTTCATGTAGGTACTTGTAATATCCTTCATTACTGTACTCTGCTATTTATAATTATATTGCATGATGGGAAAAACAGTACTGAACTTCCGGTCAAGATATAACATGGCTTTCTAAATAAACGTAGTTACAATCAATGTGTTTCTTATAATATATATACCCTGGACATAACAGGTGCAAACTACTGTCCACGCCCCCTAGCAATGGCAAAAGCAGGATTCAACATTTAATCATGAAATGGCAAAACTTTGAATTAAGAAACATCCCCAGATGTGTTTATACCGCGGTAATCATGGAACCTTCAATGTGACACTTTCGTTCCATTGTACATGAAAAGCGGCGTATGATCCCCAAGTAATAGAAAGCATGTGCCCTAAACGAGAAAACGATGGGCGGAACTAAATAAAATGGAATTTTGAAAGGGGATTTCAAGTTTTGAGATCTTCGTTTCACTCAAATT